CGGCTTCCTAAATGCCCGGGAAGCCGACTCCATGCTAGCGTATCGGCGACATATAAATATCGGTACTCGTACTCCGTACCGAAAAACCAGTATCAGTGCATCCCTAGCACTGATAAATGTGCATCATGTAAATTTGGGTAAGGGTTTGTGGTCACCTAACCATAACACCTACTATACAAACAACAGTATATGGCACCCATCTAAAAGATTAGGTTCAGTTGTTTCCAGTGAAGGGTATTGTTAATGCTATAGCATACAAAGATGTTTTAGACAATGTGAACTTCCACCCTTGTGATAACAGTCTAGTGAAGGTCCTTTTCTGTTGCAGCATGACTGTGCCCCTCTGCACAGTGCCAACAACTTGAAGACATAGTTTGACCAAATAGGTATAGAAGAACTCAAGTAACCTGACCTCAACCTTACGTACCACCTTTGGAACCAGGCCTTCTCAACCAACATCACAGCCTCACAAATGCTGAATAGGCACACATTTCCACAGACACAATCCAAAATCTTGTGGAAAGCCTTCAAAGAAGAGTGGAGGCTGTTATAGCCATAATGATTGGACCAACCCTTATAGTAATGCCCATGGTTTTGGAATGGGGTGTCCAACAGGCTCAGAACAATGTGATGGTTAGATCTACACGAACTTCTGGTCACTTAGATTTAGTGTATTCCTGTATTACCTTCCAAGTAAATCACATCACAAGACAATCTGTAGATCCAGAAACATATGCAGCAAATCTCTACTTTCCTGCAAAAGGTAAATTTTGCCAAACCTCTCTAGTGGATCTTTACCGTGATAGGAGGCCTCGCTGATCCACAGTAGACAGGAGGAAGGAGCTAAAGTTGGCCATTTGGACCTGCCAGCACTGCTCCTTGTGGGGAATATTGCAGCCATATGATCAACCATGACAGCCAGACATCTAGCATTTTAAGAAAAGGAGGCCTTCAAATTCTTCTCAGCACAATTTTTCCTTTAGCTGCCACCATAGCTGTTTTCCTTTTTCAGGCCTGCTCATCTATAACATGCCCAAGTCCTATTGATCCATTTGCCTAAATGTCCGAGGCACGGGGTTAAAAAAATTGCTTCTTTTTTTTTTTAATGAACATTAATGTTGTTTTGAGGAAATGACACCGGGGTTTTGTTACATAGCCGTTTTACACCGTGATAGTTTAGTTCTTCTTTATGCTAGTCACATCTATATTGAAACCTTTGAAGTAAACTTTAACAGAATGACGTTTTGTTGCACTGCGTATCCTAAATCAGTAAACATAATTAAAAAACTTGTTTTCACCCTTTATTGCATCTTTGTGCTGCTGATCTCCTTCATCCACTTCCTGTCTACACACACTCCAGCAACGGCTGCATGGCATGTCTCACGGTCAGTTTCCTATCAGTGTCAAAAGAAAGATATTCACGCTTATGGATCTCTTTCTCTTTTAACCCAAAAGCTGACAGCCGCAGTGAGCAAACCAAAATAGATCAAGGATCTTTGGTTGAAATAACTACAATCAAAAGTGCACCGCGCTATCTCCCCTCAAGATTTAGCCCTTATCCCCAAAGTCCTAGGGCCCTTCGGGGATAAGGGCCAAATCTTGAGGGGAGATAGGGAACTACAATCAAAAGTGCACCGCGCTATTTCCCCTCAAGATTTAGCCCTTATCCCTGAAGTTCTAGGGCCCTTCGGGGATAAGGGCTAAATCTTGAGGGGAGATAGGGAACTACAATCAAAAGTGCATCGCGCTATTTCCCCTCAAGATTTAGCCCTTATCCCCGAAGTTCTAGGGCCCTTCGGGGATAAGGGCCAAATCTTGAGGGGAGATAGGGAACTACAATCAAAAGTGCACCGCGCTATTTCCCCTCAAGATTTAGCCCTTATCCCTGAAGGCCTAGGACCCTTCGGGGATAAGGGCTAAATCTTGAGGGGAGATAGCGCGGTGCTCTTTTGATTGTAGTTCCCTATCAATGACAATGGTCGGTGACAACAGTGGGCCATATATGCAACAACGTTGCAGCACAACTGTGAGACAGGGACGGAGCCTTGCCACCTTGTTCAGGAAGTGCCTGAACAAGGACTTTCTCAGCAGGATCACCTGGTATTATTTTATCAAAAGCCGCAGATTTAAAAAGACCGAAATGACTTTAACATGTTACAGCTTATATCAGATTTTAGCGAATTGGTTTTACATACACTCAAAAGTAAACGACACATTACCTTCAACAGACCCCCATCTGTACAACACATTCTATATGTTTGCATTTTCTCCTAATCGCCAGTGTACCAGTGTAAGCCTACACACAAGTTTGGCAAAGCTTGGAAAAACAGTGCAGACGGATTATCGCACACCTTCTGGCATTACAATGATTAAATAGGACATTTTGCAAACAGCTGGCGGAGCAGATTTCACAATTTATGGACGTTACGAGGCAGGAACGGTTCTACAATACGGCTCCGCTTTGTGCCCATGAGACTCTCCTCATGTGGCAGGATATTTAGATGTAGTCAAGAAAAATGTTTCGTTTAATACCGTGAATATTATTCCTGGCGGAGGGGAACGACTTATACATCAATTTTAGCAAGCTTGCACGCTGAGCCGAGGAGGAAAATGCCTCAAATGTGTGTGGGTGTTATGATGTTAGAATTACATGAAAATGTCTGTTAGGTAGACGGTGAGGACCTAACAACGTCCTCGAGTTCCTTTCAGAGTACGAGGGGAGGTCTAAAAGTTGAATTAGTCCAGTATCACCTAAGTATACTCCTTTGGTGGTCACGTGTGGTGAGAAGCTGAGGTGCCCATGGAGGTAATCTCCGCGCTATGAAGCCTACCAACTGCTGTAGACCGCTTCATGACCAAAGCAATTTTGAAGAGCTGAAAGTTGATCCTGGGGATCAAAATTCAACCCTTTCAGATGGTGCGCGTGTGGTCTGTGCAATTTCAAAAGCGACATTTTGGCGTCCAAGAACCTCAAAGGAATAAAGCAACCTCATTGGCAGAATTTGAGGATCCCTCAAAACCACTTGGACTGGGTTGAATAAAGACCATCAGAGGTGATAAATGTCTGAAGACACAGAAGCTTGTGTAAACCTCATCCATCATACCCTTCAAAGGAATTAAGCAAGGTCTTTATATAGAAGAAAGGATCCCCCCTGCTATCACTGGTGAAGCTCTTACTTTGACCAAACCAGAGTCTGTTGCTGGGTTTTAGGGTCCTGATGATATTTCTAGTAAGGTCTGCACAAACATTCTTCAAGAACTTTACAGTGGAATATTTGTTTAGACCATGTGGTTAGGAAGACTCCACAGATACTGGGGGACATCCATTCCTTCTTTTCTTTGGTTCAAATTGGGCAACAGAGCTCTCCATCCAAATCATGTAAACCAATTATGGATATTCTAAAAGATTAGAGCTTCGGTCAATTTTCAGCTGTAAAAAACAAGCTCATCCTACATTTTAGACTTGCTAGAACCTCAGTCAGATTTTAAATACTGTTTGTGTCCCTGTTGACCAGTTAATGCAAAATCTCTTCCTATCCTGTTCTTTCCGACAATGTCACCTGAACAGAAAGAAAGGAATAAATCTCTCATGGGGACAAAAACAGCATTAGACTCCTAAAAGAGGTTGCAAACCTTCTGCACTCTATTAGACGATGGGTTTGCAATCCTTTCTGTTTGTTGCCCTTGTTGGGGGTATTTCCTCTCACGTCCTGTTCTATCTGACACCCATCAAACAAACAGGAAGTGGGGAGATTATGCTTCATTTCGGTTTCTTGTCTGATACCCTTGAAAAAGTCAGGAAATCACCATAGGAGGTAGAATTGGGCATTAAGTGAATAGTTCAATAGGTATCCCACCGCACACCTTACTGGTGAACCCCTTATGATGGGTGCTGAAATGACTGTGGATGGTGCTGCTCAGATCAGTATAGGAAGCAGGATGTCACCAGCACTTCTGGGATTTGTGTCCAAGCAAACGTCTTTTATTGACGCATATTGTCACAAGAATGGCAAATGGGCCGTGCTTGGTCTCTTCATCAGGATCAGTATGACAATAATGCAATGTACAGTCACCTATATATACAAACAGGTATACTGTATATAGGTGACTGTACATTGCATTACTGTCATACTGAGCCTGATGAAAGGACCAAGCGCGGCCCGTTTGCCATTCTTGTGGCAATATGCGTCAATAAAAGACGTTTGCTTGGACACATATCTCGGATGTGCGGGTATTAACGGACTGACGCCTGTTGAAAAATGTACCAGTTCTTATCAGATTGCCTAATTAGAACTTACAGCAGCAAATGAATAGAAGTTGCCCATGCGGATTCGTTCATTTGTCGCATGCTGGCGTTGTGCCAGATCTGAGCTCGCTGATTTTCAGCTCCTGCCCAAATTTTGGCGCAAATCTGAAGTAGGTCCCTTTCACAAGGGTGCAGTCACCCCGTATCCCATGCTGAGTCAGATCAGAACACAAACATCTGGGTTCCCTTCCAATTTTTCCTCCATCTTGGGATAGAAGAAAGACGGGCCTGTGCAATCACTGTGGGTGGCCAGGTGTAAACAGACGCGTGGCCGCCTATAGCAGCCCACATCCGTTCAGGTCAGTAAAAGTGGACCTGGAGACAAAATGTTTACGTTTGGTCCGATGAACTGGAAGCCGAGCTGAGAGAGTTGGAGTTGCTTGGAAACATGATGACTGTAAGTGTCTGGGCAAAAATGTAAAGGAATACTTTGCTTGCCATGTCTGTTTGATCTGGATTCATTATTGAATAACGTTTGAGAGTTTAATACTACTTTACATAACGTCTCACAAGGTGTGGCTGAGAAACAGACTCATTGAGAAACCATGAGTCAAACTGGGAAACCTAAAATTAAACATTTGGGCTTTCAAAATGAGTGAAGTTTGAGCACCTTGTGCAATATGTAATGTGCAAAAAGGCCGTTCTTCAACGCAGCCAAATGATATATCACCTGTACAAGTAAATATATTTATACCTTTATGGTCTCGGTAGGCACTCCTGGTTCAGGCACTTTATCTAAGTAAGAGGTCAGATCTTGGTCAACATGTTCAAACACCAATGTCAGCTTTGTCTCTCTGTCCGTCCGTGAAACGGTGCACACATCAAACAACCTGAGGAAGGAAGAAAAAAGGAAGAGGGTTGTTACTTATTTTCCTTATTGTTTCATAATTTGGTATATAAACATATTAAAGTGTATGAAAGCTTGGGATGCACCGATACTAATACCGATATCGGTGCCGATACCGAGTATTTGGGTGACTACTCGAACTTGCCCATAAGTTCCAAAACTTACCTCCGATACCGAAATTTCCGTTCAGATGGAGATGCAGAGGGAGCATGGAACCGGCTTCCTTTTCCATCAGGAAGCCGGGAGGTGGGTCATGACGTGCTGCCCACCTTCCTGATTAGCTAGAAAGCCGGCTTCACTTCTTGCTAGGCAACTGGCGTCCTAACCAATCAGGAAGCCGGGTGGCACCTCATGACCCGCCTCCCAGCTTCCTGATTGGTCAGGAAGCAAGGCAGCCTCAGCAAGTGAAGCCAGTGTTATTTCGATAGGCAATCAGGAAGCCGGGCGACGGGTCATGACCCATCGCCCGACTTCCTGATAATTAGGGCACATGATATCGGTACTCAATACGAAAAAAAACGGTATTGGTGCATCCCTAATGAAAACCCAAGAACAAAAATGCAATAGTTTGCAGCTTACCAGTCCTTAGATGTGGTGGCTGCACTAGGTCAGGCTTTATTCCCCTATATTTTCACCTGGTGATCCTGCCAGTAATGCACTTCCTGTCCTAGCTTGACAACACTCATTGCACTGTATCTAAGAAGGAGATGTGTTGTACAGAACACCTCCCCCTTCTCCTCTTTTCCATAATATAGGAAAGAGGTGCTTTGCAGTCCACAGAAATAGCTGAGAACAAGGCTTACTTATAAGACACAGGGCAAAGGAAGTTATCAGCCTACAAGATTTCTGGCAGGATCAACAGTATTTCTTTGCACTCATCAAAAAGATATAACAAAACATTTTCAATTGTATATTTAAAGTGACATTAAACCCTCAGATTTTTTAACATAAAACAATACTTGCCTTACAATGTGTGCCTTACTGTAATCCATGGTTGTTTACCTTCTCTTTGCTGCTCTTCCTTTTGAATCTGTATCTTTTCTCATGCTTGGCAGAACTTCTGTTTTGCAGCAGACTGCCTTGTCTCTGGAATGGATAGATGGTGTCTGTGTGTTGGTTTGCAACCTGAGCCAGCACTACAGGAAGAGGCACTCAGCTGCAAAGGGAAGTTCTCCCCTAGCATGAGAAGACATGAGGATTTAAAATGAAGAGCAGCAAAGAGAACCATGGATTACAGTAAGGCACACATTACAGTATTGTTTTATGTTAAAAAATCTGAGGGTTTAATGTCACTTTAAGAGAACAAAAGGGAACAAGTAGGAGAAGTCCGTTGTTGAGGTTTACATGTACTTTATGGGCACTGACTCTGCTGGCACCTGGCTGCCTGTAGTTTTTGCATCAGACCCCAGGCATGTATGTATCCAGTGCATCCAGAAACCCTTGTCTGCAGACAAGGTCTAGGCCAGGTATTCGGAATGCACATGAGAACCAGACAACTAGCATTTTCAGGCCATCAGGAGTGGCAGCCCCGAATTCCCTCATATTATATCAGCATTATTTAAAGTGATATTAAAGTCAAAAGATTTTACTATTTCAACTTTTTAAAGTGCTGATTTAATCATTTACAATGGACGCTGCTCCTTGATGTTTAAAAGTTTTTGTTTCCTGCAGAACCAGCTGGTCCCCTGGGCACTGGCCCCGATATCCTGTTATAGGTTGGCTCCTTTCCCTTGCAGGGTCTGATAGAGCCACCCTTGTGTGTGCTAGTAACACAAACATACAAGCACCGCTCCACCCTCCCTGCTCCCATCTCATCCTTCTTTCTCCCTTCTTAAAGCTAGTAGATAGGCAGCAGCTGGAGACTGCTCTGACCCATGTGATCTTGCACTGAACAGGAAGTTCAGGGAAGCTGAGAAGAGAGAGTTGGAGCTGTTCAGAAACTTGATAACTGTAAGTGTTTGGGCAAAAATGTAAAAAATAAATACTTTGCTGGGCAATGTAGATTTGTTTGATCTAGATTCATTACTGAAAAAAAGTTTAAAGGAGAACTATGAGGTGAGTTCTTTTCACTCACCCATTAGTTCTAGCTGACCTGTGACAATGAGACTGTCACAGGTCGGCTCAGTAGATCGGGAGGTGAGCGAACACATACCGGCGTTTGTTCACCTCTAGATCCTGTCACGGCTGTCTGCCGTGACAGGGGAGGGGCTGGATTCCCCCGTCCCCACTCCGATCCACCAGCGCTGACTGGCGGAACGGACGGGGGAGGGGGCGGGTACAGCTGGCTCTGCCTCTAGATAGGCAGATCCAGCTGTCACTCACGCAGCTGGGCGGATCCAGACATAATTGTCGGGATCCGCTTCAGCTGCGGCGTCTCAGTATACCGCTAGCTGTAGCTCGTGGTATACTGAGCTTAGGGTGACGGGAGGACGCTAGTTTGTGTCCTCCCGTTACCCTAAGGAGAACTATGGGGAAAAGACTTAACCCCATAGTTCTCCTTTAATAATACTGGGTTCACACCATTTTCTGGACCAGATCTGGAACATAGTACATTGCGTTTCTTTGCCGTGTTTTGAATTTTTTTTTTTTTTGAGACATGCAGTATTTTTTTGGTCTGGTCTGGAATGGACTGCGCTGGTGGGAACAGAGGCCAGAAATAGCATAGGGATACATTGGGGTCCAGAAACAGTCTGGTCTGGTCTGGAGGTAATCTGGATGTGGTGTTAATGGGCCCTTAAAGTGGACTTTCAGTAACTTTTCAAGTCTGCATGAATGAATTATTCGACATGTCACAATATACAGCAACAGTATCATTTTGATGAGTTTATCATTAAAAAACAGTCCATACAGCATCAGTCCAGGGACTCTGCCCTCTGCCTAAGCTGAGATGATGCCATCAGTCTGCTGCAGGCAGGAAGAAATATTTGCTCAGTCCCCTCTCCCCCAGTGATCCCTATGACTGTACAATGTAACTCTGTAGAAAGTCACAAAATGAGGGCAGCTTTGCAAAGAGAGGGCAGCTTTGCAAAGAGACCTCTGCTTCCACGCAGAGATCAAGGGTTCTTCTCCCTAGTAGCTAGCTTTGCATTGTCTAAAACAAAAATGCTCATGCCTAAAAACACGTGAAAAACAGAGTGGAAAAACTTCCAAAAACAATGATTCTCATGTGTGAATGTGGCCTAAAACTTTGACCACCTTTAGTTTTGATGGAATGTATTTCAGTTAGGCTATAACCCCTTGCTGCCGACTCCCGGCAGCCCTTTAAAGCAAGGGTGGACAACCCCGTCCCCCCAGCTGTTGTGGAACTACAAGTCCCATGAGGCATTGCAAGACTGACAGTTACAGGCAGGACTCCCAGAGGCACGTTGAGATTTGTAGTTAAAGCACAGCTGGAGGTCCAGTGTTGGCCAACCATAGTCTAGGACAAGGGTCTCAAACCTCCGGCCCTCCAGCTGTGGTGAAACTACAAATCCCATGATGCATCTCTGTTCGGGAGTCATGTCTGTGAGAATCTTGCAATGCCTCATGGGATTTGTAGTTCCACCACAGTTGAAGGGCCGGGGGTTTGAGACCCCTGGTCTAGGAAGTCAATGGTGACTCTGGATGATGCCTTAAAAAAAAAGATGGTGCCGTCCTTTTGCAGAGGAAAGTAGATGACTGCATTATCAGGGGGAGTCATGTGATCTCTGTGGAAGGTAGTACATACTTGAAAGTGTTTCATGTACAAATGATTTATAAAATGCAATATGAAAAAATATAACTGATGCAAGAACAGTTCTTTTCAGTTTTGGGTTAGTGGAAATCATAGCGTTTCCACTACACGTCTAACCACACAGCTGCCGTGAAGAAGATCTCTCAGGAGTGTTTATAATAAGAGTCCAAAAAGAAATTCAGCCAGCTGTCTTTAGCCATGATAAAGGGGGAGTTCTTGGCCCCGAAACAGATCAAAAAGGGGGCAAAAATGGATAAATACACTTTGTTTTAAAGTAAACCTATCCTTTAAGTTGCCTACATCTTTAGCACCACATGTGATACAAAGGGATCGTAACCTCTGTTTAGAATTTACTCATACTGTATTCCCAATCTTATTTTGCCCAGGTCCGGGTTTTCATTTTGTATATTGCCCTTTTATAATGCTTCACTGAATCAGTCCGAAAATGTCTAACGCTCCCAAAAACCACAGGACGCATTTCCCCAGCGTTCAGCATCCCCCAACAAGGCTGGGAGACTGAGGACAACTCACGGTGACCAGTGATCACTGATGACTCGCAATGACCACCATTGGAGATCATTCATTTTTAAAGGCTGTAACATTCATCCCCGCGATGGAAATAAAAAAAAAAAATGGTGGATATTGCACAGAGACATTGAGGAAATCCGCTCTGAATACAAACTTTCTGCTTGTATTTGGCCGTAGGTTAGCAACTTTGCAGTAAATGTATTTATGTCAATGGGGACGGAATGCAGGAGGACGGCCTATAACCTAACACATGTAAATAACCCGCACCCAGGCCGGCCTGAAATCTGAAGTATAAGCACTGGAAAATATTCCGTCTGTATGATTTCTTTGTGTTGACTTACATTTACTGTAATATTCGCAAAAACACCTTTCCTGCCAGGCATCTCACATGCTGGCAGAGCCCCCGACCCAATGCATGAAAGAGGCCGTATATAAGAGGGATATATCGTTTTAACTGTGTTTGTGCTGTGAAGATGTCAAATACAAAAAAATGGTTGATGTTAGGACATTGAAAAGAGGACTCTGACGAGCGCATCATACCATTGGCTGTTTGCCATGTCACTCACTTCTATGAGATAAGTTCCACTTTATCCCCTTCTCTTCCCAGCCCCCCTCTTGCAGAACTACAGGAAGGACTTGTTCATGCCAGCAGGCACACATTATGGAGCGCATAACATGCGCACTGCAAAATATTGCTACATCACATCGTAGTGTCACCTTGAGGTGATTTGTTTCCAATTCCT